TGGCAAGTGCAAGGTCCTGAGTTCAATTTCCAGTACTAAAAGAGAAAAGGTGAGGTTGATTGGATGAATGGGGAAAAGGGATGGAAGGTGGGGATCCAAGCTGACCCCCAAGTCTCCATCTGATTCCACTGGGGTGTTAGATGCCTTTTTTTTTTTTTGGTGGTACCAGGGATTGAACTCAGGACCCTGCACTTGCCAGGCAAACGCTTATTCTACTGAGCTATCTCCCCAGCCCCAGATGCTTTTCATTTGGACTTCTTAGCATAAGACCCTGTGCAAGCCAGGATGTCCTTTCCCCATTCTTCCCTCTCCTGCTGATTCAGAAGGAAAATCACAGACAGACGTCTTTCCTTTAGATTTCTGGAAGGAAAGGGGAGTTTTCACCCAGAGTCATGACCAGAGGAGACATGAGTTAATAAATATTTTCATCAACACACTAAGGGTGATAGCAAATCAGAAGAATATTGCTAATAGCCAGGCATTATAATTCCAGCACTCTGGGAGGCTACATGGGAGGATTCCAAGTTCAAGCCTAGCTTGGCATGTTAGCAAGTTAACCAGATTCTGTCTCAAATTTTAAAAAATGAAAAGGGCTGGGCTTGTAGCTCAGTGTGCAGGAAGGCGCTTACGCGCGTGCGCACACACACACGTACTCCATACTGGTAATACTTTATCTGTGGTTTTATTTATTGGATTCAATTCAGTGAGCATTTACTGGGGACTTCTCAGGTCCCTTTAAGGGTTTGGCGTACAAGAAGAACACGTGACTCTGGCTGTTAAAATTTCGATCTAGTACAGCCAAAATGCACATCAGCAAATCTGTTGCCTTGTGACAAGCAGCACAGAGGTGGTAATGGTGGTGCCTAGAATCCCAGCACTCTGGGAGGCTGAGGCAGGAGGATCTTGAATCCAAGGCCAGGTGACTTAGTGAGACCTGTCTTATAGAAAGCAAGAAAGGAAAAAAAAAAAAAAAAAGACTGGGGATGTTGCTTGGTGCAGTAGGCCTGGGCTAAGTCCCCAGTACCACCAGGAAAAAAAAAAAGTGCCACACAGAGCAGAATGGTTCTCGTTTTGTAGGGCCCAAAGAGGACACAGTTTGAAGGGCTTTGAAAGAAAAAGAAAGCAGGTCTATGGCTGTACTACTATGCATGCACCCAGTCTCATCTGAAAAAGAAAAAAAGGCACAACGTGAAACCGAGATTGTGGTCCAGAGCTTAGAAGGGTCCTGGTAAGCGGAGGCCCTGAAGCTGGAGTTTCGCTGGAGGGAGACGGTCACAGGGTTACCAGGCTGGAGGAGCCAGAGAAAAGGCAGCACAGGCCGTGGTTTTGAAGGCTGTGCTGTGAGGTGTTCAGAACCCTTCGCTGATCCCAAGGCGGCCAGTGATTTGTGGGAGGGCTCAGTGCTCCCTCCTCTGGCAGACAGAGAAAGTGGAGCCCCCTCCAGGGTGCAGGCGGCAGCGCTGAGCTTCTGCAGGATGGCTGGTAAAGCAAGCACATTAGTCACCAAGCACTGTTTGGAATGGGCACAGGACACTTGAATATTTTTTTTTTTACTTAGATAAATGTTCCAAATGCACAAAATGGAGAAGGATTTAAAGTGTGACTTTTAAAAATATAATTTTCCAGCCATGATCTGTAGATATTAAGCAAATCCCTCAATATTTTTCCTTTACACAAACAGCAGCACATCATGCCCACCTGTTCTGTCTCTTGACATTTCCAACAGAACATTCTGGAAATTGTTCTATATCACAACACAAAGAATATCCCCAAGGCGGGTGTACTATAGGAGGCCTAAGCAGGAGGTTATATAGTGATTTAGTGAGGGCCTGTCTCAAAATAAAAAATAAATAAATAAAAATGGCAAGGGCTGGGAGTATAGTTCAGTACAGAGACCCTGTGTTCAATCTCCAGTACCTCCCCAAAAGAGCATCCTTATTTTTATTTTTATTTTTATTTTTATTTTTATTTTAGGGAAGGGTCTACAGGGTGTTCAGGGTCTGACTACTAGATTGAACTCGTAGTGATCCACCTGTTTACAGCCTCCCAAGAGCTGGGATGACAGGCGTGCATCACCACGCCCAGTCTCAATTGTGCTGTCTCAGCATGCCCCAGGGGTGGAGCCAGCACAGCAAGCACAGGCATCGAACCCCTAGTCCCTGCGTCTGCTTGCAGGCGCTTTAATCTGCTGAGCTGTTTGGCTGGCCCTGCGTAGTAGTCTATGTTGCTTTGTGCCCACTGGTTCCTACCCTTGCTGAAATCACTTTTGCTGTGGGAATATCGTTCTGGGAAGTCATTTTGTACATATATATATATATATATATATATCCTTAAGATAAATTCCCAGCAGTGAAGTGGCTGAGTCCAAGGGCATGTAATTTCTAAATTATCACCATCAACACCATCATCATCTTTTTTTGAGACAGGGCCTCGCCATGCAGTTCAGGGTGGCCTTGACCTCACTTTGTATCCCAGGCTGGTCTTGAACATCCAGCGATCCTCCTGCCCCAGCCTCCTGAGTGCTGGGATCACAGGCGTGCACCACCACGCCTAGCATAATTTGTAATTTTGATTCCCCCTTACCAGCCATGTGCAAAAGCATTTGTTTTTCCACACTCCCACTGTAGTGTGTTACACACTGTTTTTATCTTTGCCAATCTAATAGGTAAAAGTGGTATCTTAGTGCAGTTATAGTTCTGTTTATTTTACTGTGACTGATCTCAATACGTAGTCACTTAGACTGATTTTATTGTCTTTGTGGGCCCTGTCCAGACCTACCTGTCCTATGTAATTAGGTTTTTTTTTCTCTTATGGATTTATAATTGTTCTTTATATATTAAAGAAGTAAGCCTTTTCTGTCAACCTACTTACATGTTTTCCCAATTAGTTCACTTGTTGAAACATTAAATTAGTTTTTAAAATAATGTTCGCATTGAGAGGAATTGAAGGGCATGTGCCCACACCCTACATTTATTTCACAGAAGGGAAAAATAATAACATAGCTTTTAACTATGTCTACATAAAATTTGCAAAGTCAACAAAGTCGTATTAGTCTTGGACCGGAGTACATATATGCAGAACACTCACTGGGTGCCAGGCGTGATGCCAGGTACTGAGGCAGAGTGGTGCCCAGGTGAAGGCCCTGCTGTGCTGCAGCTGACACGCTAGTGAGGTGGTGCGCTATGAACCAGTGAGTGGAAAGAGCCGTACCTGGAGACGTGGAAGCAGGCTTGTAAGGGCCTTGAGGGAGCAACAAGCCGGGTGGTTTTGAAGAAGAGGAAGGGGCTGATCAGCTGGAGCACAGCCAGAGAGGAAGAGGGCAGGAGGAGTGAGGTCAGGGAGCTCACACGGGCCTCAGCAGAGAGGGCCTCAGAGACCGGCGCAGAGTCTCGATTACTGTGCATGTGTGCACGCATGCGTATGTGCGTATGTAATTTTTCCCCCTTTGGGAAATGTTCAAACAAACAAGGAGAGAGGGAGAATGATTTAATGAACCAAACAAACCTATCAGCTCAACTGATAGGGACATTTTTCCATCCTACTGGCAAATAAGATTTCAATTAGACTTACTTAGAGGGGGGCGGATTTTTCCTTTCTCCTCTTTCCCTGCCTCAATTCCCTTAAAAAGTATCTTTTTACTGAAGTCCAGGAACTGCAGAAGCATGCTCTAGTCATAAAGTGCACCCACATAATGGGCACCTGGAAGCCCCCCAACTGCCACTATGCAAATGGAACACAAACAGAATCATACAGGCTGTTCTGTCCCATGACTAGCTTCTTTCACCTGCTGAGTTTGGTTATTGGATGTCATTTTATTTTATTTTTATGTTTTATAATTTATATTATTGGATGTCATTTTATTTTGTTATTTTTTATGTATTTAGTACAGGGTCTACAGGGTCTCACTACACAGATCGGACTCGTAGTGATCCTCCTATTTTCAGCCTCCCAAGGGCTGGGATTGCAGGCGTGCGCCACCATGCCCAGACTTAGATGTCATTTTAGATTGTCGCAGCTCCTCCTCCTCGTGGAGGCATTCCACTGAATGCCATGGGTGTTTACCCATCCTACTAGGGTGTCTATGTACGGGCACCAGGACCCAGGGTTTGGCCATATCAGATGGTCTGTGTGACCATTCTAGTATCTGTCTGTGGAGGACACGTGCGTGCATTAATGGTGGTTTAAACTCAAGTGGCATTTCTGAATCATAAGGAGGTGCATGCTCAGTTTTGGTAAACAGTGCCTGTCATGGTTTGCCAGAGCTGCTGTGACAGAGAAGCACAAGGTAGCTCACTCACGACAGACACTTCCTGCCTCACGGTTCTGGAGGCCGGAAGCCCGTAATGGTGATGGTAGGTATGGTGGTTCACTCTGAGGACTATAAAACACAGATCTGTTCCAGGCCCCTCCACTGATTTTTCAATGGTCTTGTGTTTCGTGCCTGTTCACATCTTCTAACTGTGTCTGTGTCCAGATTTGCCCTTTTTATGGATTAGAACCCACCCCGGTGACCTCATTTTAATTTAATCACTTGCAAAGACCTTATCTCCAAATCCATCCACACCCCAAGGTTCTGGGGGTGAGGACTCCATCACTTCTTTTTTCAATCCATAATGGTGGTTGTATAAATTTACAAATCCACTGCTTTCTGGGATGTTAAAGCTAATTCCAGATATAATATCATTTGCCTTGTGAGTGTTTTTAAAAAGATGAAAGACTTGTTCTGGTTTATATTTTATTAAAAAGTCTATTTTTTCAGTGGGAATGTAAGACAAGGTAAAAATTTCACCAGGAAGGAAAAATATATGAAGTGTGAGCCTTTGTGGGATCACCCACTCGGGACCCTCTGGTATCCTATGTTTGGGGGCACCTCTGGGTGCCTTCGCTGCCTGGTGCCACAGCGCCCCCTTCCTGCTTTCGGCCCCTTGGGGCTCAGATAATGCAGAGAGGGAGGAGCCCTGCCAGGACTCAGGCTGTCTGCTCCATCTCCTCCCCGCCAGGACATACAGCAGCTCCTGCAGCTCCAGCAGCTAGTGCTTGTGCCAGGCCACCACCTCCAGACACCTGCTCAGTTCCTGCTGCCACAGGCCCAGCAGAGTCAGCCAGGTAAGCCCTATGGGCAGCCTCCCCAGGGCCTCTACCCATCTTCCTTTAGCTGCCCCCCTCACCCTGTGCATCTTCCCCGCTTGTCTCCCCAGGCCTGCTACCGACGCCAAATCTATTCCAGCTACCTCAGCAAACCCAGGGAGCTCTTTTGACCTCCCAGCCCCGGGCCGGGCTTCCTACCCAGGTGAGGCTGTCTACTGAATGCGCCAGGCTAAGCTGGGGGGCTGGGGAGTGTGAGTGGCGTGAGGGGTGAATCTCCTCTCCACTGCCCCACCACCACAGCTACGGGGCCAAGATAGCAATGGGGAGCTGAGGCCCAGCCTGCTCTGCCACTGATTTGCTGAGAGACCCCAAAGAAGGCACCTAAAAAAAAAAAAAAAAAAAGGAAGGCACCTTTCCTGTCTAGATGAGTGCCTTCCACTAGGGAATGGGGGTAACGGAGCCAGGCCAGTGGGTCCTAACTCCCTCAAGCACATGGACTCCTTTGAGAATGGGATGAAGGATTTAGGATTTCCCAAAAAATGTACATGTACACAGACACACAAAATATCAAAAGGTTGCAAGTCCTTTGGAATGCCTCAGAGGTCTCTTTTGGCACTGTAGCTGGAGAGTTTTCTGAGTTCTATTTGGCCTTTGTCAACTTAATTCCCAGAAAGTGCTTTTTTGTGTGTGTGGTACTGGGGATTGAACTTGGGACCTTGTGCTTGCCAGACAGGCACGTATGCCACTGAGCTATCTCCCCAGCCCGAAAGTGCCAATTTTCAGCTTCTCTTCACAAACCAGAGTATCTGGCAAGACTGGACCCATGCCCTTCCACCCACAGCGGGCACCCTGAGGTAGGACCCCAGCACTCAAGGCACCTCAGTGTTCCATTACACGGACTCTAAAGCCTTTCAGTTTCCTGGCTGGGCTTAAGATTTTAAGAAGAATCTTTTGACACCCTTGATGCATTTAAAATTATTCCTACTCATTTTTTATAGCCCTTTCAAAAATATATCAGGGCTTCAGGAGTGGGAGAGTGGCTTAGTGGTACAGTATGTGCTGAGTATTCTTGAGGCCCTGGATTCAAGGCCCAAGACCAGAACAAAAAGATATAGGGGCCAGGGAGATGGCTCAGTGGAGTAAGCGCTTCCCTGGCAAATGGAAGGGCCTGAGTTCAATCCTCGGTTCCACAAAAAAAATTAAAAATAAAAATAAATATATATG